TCATCCTCATCCTCATCCTCATCCTCATCCTCATCCTCATCCTCATCATCCATTGGCGTTATCAAAGCATGTCAAAGCTGTCATGAGTCGTTCGGCTCATGAACCCCTCCGACCACCGAGCCGGGCCTCACCCCCCCCCAGGAGCCCCACCGCGCCTCCGACACCGAGCGCAAGATCGACGACATGCGGGCGCGGCGGTGGTCTCCGGTGGGTTTCGGGTGGTGCGGTGGACGTGGACAGGACCCAGGAGCAGCTGGTGAGGCCAAGGGTGGACCGACAGGCCATGGATGTTCATGAACCAAGCTGAGCGGAGATCCCCTGTGACTCCCTCTGGTGCGGAGGATAGATCTGTCCAGGGGCGTAACTACCGTCCACTTCGGTGAAGGTTTGAAGTGTAAGTGGGTCGTTTGCGGTGGTACATAGGGACCATGGAGAAAGGACTGGGGAGAAGGGTCCAGAGACAAGGGACTTGGGACAAGGGGCCATGGCACCTGGGAGTGCCAGAAGTCGGGATACCACACGCAGTTGATGCTCCATGAGCTCCAACTGATGAGTCCTGGAAATGTGTCCCTAAACCAACCCAAGACATCGGGTTCAAGACCGAGCTGCAGGCATGCTGAATTGGCTCTCCCCTTTCGCATCTTGCATCTTGTTGGTTGCTATTCTTATTCTTCACTTGTGTCAACATGCTTCGGAATATGTAGGATGAACTGCACTACATCGAATGCCCCATTGACCTCAATTGATGGTTTTCAGGTTGTGGCAGTTTTTGTGGGTGAATCGGCCGTCCGCTGCAGAAGGTCAAGCTGGATGAGCTAGCAGAGGCATTCAAGGACAGGCAATGTGACATACTGTGTTTTTGTTGTCTACTCTGAAGTTGTTTGGACATATCCATCAGGCAGTGGCCAGGTGTTGTCGACTCCTGGGCATCGTGCGACTTATGCCTAGCAACATGCCCAGGCATTTGTAGCTGACGACCATCTAGGCCCTCAAGTTCCGGGGAGTTCAGGGATCCAGAGAGGCTCCAGAAACTCCAGTGCTGCAGGAGAGAAGCTGGTGACTTGCTGCGAGGCAAGGGAATGGGTCATGAGTCATGAATGGATAAGAAAGGTGTTTGGAAACGGTTTTGCCCCATCAGCTGCATTGAAGAGAAGAACCCTCCAAAGCTGAGAAAGACTTCAGACGCTTTTCGTGGCACCGCCAAAGAGCTCCAAAGAAGTGCAACAACGCCGCTCGCGTTTCTTTCGAGGGCACCGGTTTTGGCACCGACTGCAGGTTCAAAGGGTGGCCTTGTTCGTTGCCAGAGACACTGATGTTAATCCATTCGTCGCGCCGCCGTCGCGTCGCGATCTCAAAGCATTTCGTGCAGTGCGGCGCGCGGCGATAGTCCTCGTCCCGGTGGAGCGAGTCGTGCCTAGTGGAGCCCTGCCCATGTTGATTCTTTCCCCGGCGGCGAAGAAGAATCACCTCCTCTGAAGAAGAGGCTATAGTGATTCCTGTTTCAGGGCGCGCGAGGGATTGGGATTGGAGGCCGTTTCGTAGGTACCCTTAGAAGTCCAAAGACTATATTTTGACCGGCTGGAGTAAAGGAAATTTCCTTTCAGTTCCCTTAAAGACAATTCTTTTTATAGTCTTTGACTCCCAGAGGGTAGATATTTCCCCAAATTGAGAGTGTTGGGCCTAGCTGTTGCGAGCCGGAGGGAGCGGCGGCTGAGGGGGTATAGTAACAGTTCTCATGATGATATCATTCAACACGGAGCCCATGGGAGCTACAGGGAGTTCTCCAACCCCCTAGCTAGATTCTTGCCCTGGAATTCCAGTCGTACCGAACCTCAGGTACGGTGAGCAAGGAGACTACTGTATTTAAGTAGGCGCCAGGAGAGCCCAAGTACCTTCTATACTTCGGACGTCCAGAGAGAGATGGAGAATAGAAGATTCAATTACAATCCACACATCCCCGCTCCTAACTAAATGGATATGGGGGGGTGACCTAGGTATAGTGGATATCCACTGAGAATATCCACTCCAACTGGTTCTAATCAACGCAGACAACGGCGGACGTCCGGAGGTGGGGAACTTCATGGTTCTATCCATTGGGAGGGGTTCTTTTCCAGTTCTTTCAGCCTTATTGGGCTCCAAACTGCATGACTTCTCCCTAGATCCTGAAAGGAGGATCCGCGAATCCATTCGGGTTCCGTTCTGTCCGGCGCCGTCTGCAGCCTCAAGGGCTGGGTTAGAAAGAAGCCGGGCCCGGCACGAGCGGCTCCATGTGCAGATCGAAAGGGTGCTGGGGTGGCATTGGGCCCTCCAGAGGGGACGCCACCTGGGTGGCTCCGAGTCATGAACTCCTGGGGGTGGACGCCACCTGTGTTCTAACCAGTGTGGTATTTGGATGTCATGGTTATCCATTGATGTGGGCCATGCCGTCCACCTGGGAAAAGAAACGATCGTATGAGGGAGTGTAGCTGTAAGGAGGTACCCAAGAAAATGTGATTATAGAGCAGATCTCCTCCACTTAAGGATACGTATGGATCCCAATTCCAAGTATGCGCATGGTTCGCTTTCTTTGGTCAGGAAGCCGCAACTACTGCTGTACCACATGTATTTCTTGACAACTGTAGTCACTATAGTCAGCTACATTGTCAGTTGCCACTTCAGTTGCCCTAAACCAGGCTGTGCACTAGCTGGATCAACTGGAGCATCCAATTGGAGAACCCCACTATCCCCCACTGCACGTGAGCTCCAATCCAGAAGTACGGCCTAGTGTGGGTACTTCTGCAGTCAATTGATCGCCGCTCCTGAAAAAATGATCAGATCACAACTGGATCAAGGATGAATTTAGACATCTCTTCCACCAGTCCTGAGCTGCAAAGCCCGGAATAGAAGCACCGAAGCGGTTACCATATACGTGTTGCACTGCGATTTGACCGAGCGACGTCAACAAAAAAGACACCAAGTGATCAAATCTAGCCATTCTTCAGGAGCCACTTTCGAAGAATAGCTCCAAGAATTTCAACCCAGACAAGGTCAGCATGTTTGAGTCTTTTCACTCTTACCCAGTGGGGTAGGCACCCCTCCAAGCGTCCAAATCCTCTCATGACCACGTTGCCATGAGCTTGGCCTTGAGCAACGCGCCGAAGAAGGGCGCCCTCAGCAACGCTCCCGGGAACTTGGGACGTGCCTGAGAACAGCACGTGCGTCGGGTGAGTGTGGCGGGTCAGGTGTGACCCTGTCGACCTGGGCGACCTGTGGTTCACTCATGCTGGACTTGGGGTGGACGATGTACAGTAGATCAGCATAGATCAGTAGGCACTTATTGCTTTTTGTCCTGCGCCTCTGGGAAGGAAACAACACTCGGCCATGTTGATTTGTAGATTGTATAGATTATAACATTTGCAAGAAAACCCTCCCTTACCATGAATCTCTTCCCAGGGAGTTTGGTTTGTCGCCACGACTGTGGCACTGACAGTGCCTGACAGTTCCCGTGTGAGGTGATCCATCCAGCGTCTCATCATATGCGGGAGACCCGGTGTCTGGGCAGCAGCGATGAGGGTGAACAAGTTGGCCAAACAGAGGCCCCGAACCAGGAATCCAGAACCAAGAGTTGGTATATATACTTCAAGGTTGTTTTTAAAATGGCCAAGATTTATCCAGATGACCAGCAGTCGACTCAAGCATGGCATCGCTGAATGTAACCATGTAACCCTATTTGGGTGTCTCTCACACCACCCGCGGGGTATTGTTTTGGTGTGGAACCAGTGGGTTCCAAAGACCAACACCATAGACATCCATAGACCTTGGAACCTTCTTTTGCTAGTCCAGAAGTTGGAACTGAGAAATACGTTTCTATATGTGCCTTGCCATCACCCAGGCAGAATCAGAAGAGTACAGGTCCAGGTATGAACATGAAATCACTAATTGGCGGCCCTTAAAATCGATCAAATCGATACGACCAGGTACTACTGTACAAGGTGAATCTCCTTCAAGATGCATTCGACATCAAATGCTTAATCTAGGACCCACTATATGTATGCAAGCATATATGCAAATTTGGTCCAGTGATTGGAACATCTTAACTCCCCGGTATGTCACAGTAAATTGCCGGAACGCAAATGGGATATGACCCTCACAACTCGGGTTTTAGACCAAACCAACCATGATAAGAGTTGCTATCACGGTCCATCCTATGTCCTCCTTCTATTGGGCAGCCGGAGGACTCGGAGGAGGCGAAGTGGTATCGCTGCGTCTTCGGGAAGACTTCGGTGCCTCTTGGCTCGACTGGGTGAGCGTGGGCGGTGGTGCGGTGGGGTGACCTCGGCAGCTGCAGTGCTGGCGGTATTTTCCGGTGTTTGTGGGTGGTTTGACGAGAGGAGCGGGTCGTGAAAAAGAAGTGGGTCGTTTTCCAGAGAAGGCGGGTCGTGACGTCTGAGGGGCGACGAGCTAGTTGCAGCGGCCACTGGGTTTGGGTCAGACACCCAAAACATCCCAAAACCGTTGAGTTGAGGACATTTTTCCTGGGATCTTGGAACAAGCAAGGGTAAGGAACCCATTTCTTTTTCCACATGAACCTCGGTCAGAGCCTGCTGGGATGAAGTATGTTATCACCCGGTTTGTCTCCCTAAACAAACGCAATAAGACAATATAACTAGATTCAGATAGGTTGCACAAGTTGTGCCACCGTGTTTGGGAACCCGCGGGTCTTTGATGGTCTGAACCATTATGCGCAACTGAAATCCTATGAATCGGATGTACCTTTGGGACTGCCCTCCTCGCCCACATTCCCTCAGGTTCCAGCGGAAGGTGTAACACATTCGCGCAGTTGTTGGTGCTTAGAGGCCCTACTCTTATACGTTTACGAGTTGTTCTACTCCCCGAAAAAGGTTGGGTCTCCCAGCGGAATAATTACTTAGCTCATCCTGCCCAACCATTCTCACTGCTCCAAATGGTTGGATCTGAGGCCAGATGCCATTGACTTAGTCAAGGCCAAAGCCGACCCCAACTGCAGGTGACACTCACGGCACGTCGCGTGGGGTCGGTCCCCTCCAAAGACTCTTCAGGGTTTCAGGATGGCTCGACTGAGAACATGGTTGTAGATTGATGGATTCTAACCCGGCTCTCCAACCAGGGCTTGTTGGGCGTGCTCAGCCTCTTGCCTGTAGACTCGGTAGACTCGGTAGACCTAGCCAGTCCGTCGATCACCTGAAAAGCTGAAAGTTGGTGGATTTTCTTGGGGATTGGTTTCCCCACTAAACAAGACAGGTCCAAAAAGGTTAATCATTTATTTTGCAGAGAAACTGATGGAGTCAGGATGTTCAAGGGACCCTTCAGGTGAAAGGAGATAGACACTTAGAAAGGCTTTGCAACAGAGAGTTCCCACACAAGACCAGTAACGGCCCGTAATTAGCCACCGGCCCGGGTGGAGGGTGGATTGCGAGGCTTCAGCATCTTGAACTGGCCGTGTTTATTGACTCGTTGGGAAGGCTACCAGTTGGGCCCCATCACCCTGGACCCATCCTGGACCCTGGCTCCGCCAGGTTCAAGTACAAGCTCGGGCCCAAAGAGTTCGATGGTACCCCCTTGACGTTGGCCGTGAAGCTGGACAAGCCCCTGGGACGTCGACACAGGGCCGGGCCGGAGAGGAGCGGTTCGAGCGAGCGGTTCGAGCGGCGAGTCTGGGCGGTTCATGTGTGACTTCGGTTCGCTTCACGTGCAGCCGTGAAGCGTTCGCCAAACCAAAGGTCCGGACCTGAAAAGGGGGGGGACAGTTGGTGTCGGAGATTCCGCAGGTCGGAAATTGGGAGAGACCAGACACCCAATGACACCCATACATGTCACCTCCCAGTGTATCACATCCACGAGGCGTTCCTGCAATTGTCCAAAACCTCACCCTCGGAGGCTCCAAACCACTGAAAACCACCTCTGGGGTGGGTCCTCGGCACTTGGTTTTCGACCCCACCATGAGGCCCTTCATTCTCATGGCGGTCCATGGGAACCATCTGGTCTGGTCATGCCTGGGTCCATGGGAACCGTCGACGAAGGCCTGCATTGGTGCGAAAGCTCATCGACTTCAAGGCGGACCCCGCCTCGGAGTATTCCATGCTGCTTAGCAGAAAGAACCCGCAGGAGGAAATGAAGCAGGGGGCATGGCAGTTCCCTAGCCATGCCAACGAAGCTATGGGATTCAGCCGGAAAGGTTCAACGAACTGCACGACTCGACTCAGGGGTTCTTAGGTACCGACGCAGCGACCCAGAAAAATGTCTTCTAGGGCGACTTATTCGTGCCTCCTCAGAAGGTATGACTGGACCCTCCTGGCACCCACCCAAGTCCCACCGGCTCCAGTCCAAGGGATATCCAATAATAATTGCCAATCATACCTAGACCATCCTAGACCTTCATTTCGGGGTGTCCAATGGAGATCCACAATGTAGTGTCGGGTGTTCCGTACGTAGCACCCCGACATGAAGGTGCTGGGTAACCCCCCTTTGGGGTTGGTGAATCGTGCAGTGCTTTAGGTCCAAAAGGGCGCTAGTCTAGTCTACCAGTTATGAAGTAGGTGCCTATAAGTGTCACCGGGGGGGGACCAGCCTGATGGTCTCAAAGGGGATCCAGAAGCATCAACATCCAGCTCCAAGCACATCCGAAAAGACTGAACCCCCAAAACCCCCCCCCCCCCCCCCCTTCTTTTCGGAGGTGGTTTCAGATATTACCAAGCATCAGCATCATCTTTATTATTAACCTTTATTACTTGGGAACCATGTTGAACCCACTGACACATGTTTTTCAAGAGTTGAAACCACCCATCAGCCCATGGATGTTGAATTCTCCACTCTCCACTCGCCCTGGTGACGCTCCCACCCCGGTCTGAGCTCGTTTTCCGAGGAGCGCCGGGCGCTTGCGAGTCCATTGGACCGGTCCGGCGGTGTGCGGCACGGTGGCCAAAGGGAATTTGGCCATGATGAGGCCAGGACGTTTCGCCCTCGCGGGTTCGGCGGAGAGGGGCGGAGGCGGGGGGGGTTCGAGCGGTTTCGGATGTGGAGGATGTGGTGGTTCCGGGTTGGGTGGGCGTGGGGCATGGAAGGAGCATGGAAGGAGGTGCGACGTCATTCCTCCACTCCATGCCACTCCTCTCAGCTTTCACCGACTTCCTTTCACCCTTGATACGGCTCCTCATGTCTCTGTCGGAGGTGGCGAGGTGAAGGGTTTCGTGGAGGTGCTGAAGTCGAAACAGAGGGACCTTGACTGTGGCATGGTGGTGTGGTGGTATGTGGTGGTCATAGGACATTCTTTGGCTAAAGAATGGCCTGGTGGTGACTTGAACGCAACACGTTTGGGCGTCATTTTGAAGGATGTGCCCGAAGACAACACCGTGCACCGCCCAAAGATTTTTGCTACCCAAAGGTAGCAGGTAGCAGCTGCGCAAAAGCATAAGAACTTGCCGCGCGAGCTTGCGGCCGAGTATGGTCCGGAAGCGGTAGCGGTCTTGGGAAGTGTTTGGGACGGCAAGCCGGTGCCCGTCGCAAAAGGGCACCCCTGCATGCAAGAACTAATGCACAAACTGAGGAAACGGAAGGGCATTGCACAACCCAAGCGTGCGCCACACCTTCATCGTTTGCCTGCAATATTGACAGAGGCCACCAGAAACCATCGGAAACCGAGAAAAACAGCCTGATGCAGCACGTACGTGGACTCCATGTCCAAAAGCATCCAGCGGTTTTGGCCATCTCTCCTTCAGGCTGCTGGTGGAGTGTGAGGCCAACCTGCAGGGAAGGGTCATCAGCTTCAACGGTGAGCCGAATGGCACGTTGCTCTACGACGCTGGGCGAAGCGACGCCCTCCGCCCGGCCGTACAACGGGGATCTAACAAAGGGTTTGGTGACGCATGCCGCTGCGCTGGGATTGAGGGCCTATATAGGAAGCCCTTTCTTTGTGGGGAGGTTGGCGAGTGTCTAGCCGGTGCAAGCTGTATTATATAGATGATCGATGTAAGGAGTTCACCCATGGCAGATGGATGTCTTTGAACATCCTGCAGTTAGGAGGGGATGTTTCAATCCAACATGACTATGGGCCAAAGGAATTTCCGTCCTTCCGCCTCACAGCAGACGGTGCTAGACCTTGGACCATTGGAGCATCTTGGACCTAAGGATGCCAGTTACTTTGGCCATGCGCACTTGGCAGCTTGGCTGCAGTTGGAGGGTCCAACTTTCTGCCGACCCACTTGGACGAAACCCATTCAAAATCATTGAAATGGAGCCTGCATGGATGATTTTAGTAAAGTATACGTGTCGTGAGCCACATAGGAAGCAGAAAAAGTCTGGACTGTTGATGAAGAAAAGCCCCGGTATACCTGGTATGGTCCAACATCTCCATATGGGTGTGCATTCAAATAGGCAGACCTCCCAGATCGACCGATTGGAAGAAGGGAGTCTACCCATGGGACCAGGGGATCTCCCTCTTAAAAGGCACACACATATGAAGACTTTATAAGTCATTAGGTCCGTGGTGTGGTTTCACCATTGCACGACTCAGCTGAGTGGTCCATGAACTTTTGGTCCTCGAGGCAGGTAGTGCTGAGGGCCAAATGAGAACATGGGAAGACCACACTTTCGGCCAACCCGGGTGAACAACTAGCTGATACGCTGGCACCGCTCAGCATGCTGCGGCATGCTCTCCCCCTTCCTCCCATCACCATCTTCGCCCACATCCGAAACCTGGTCTCCGAGACCAGGACCGAACTGTTCGTCCTCCTCCCCCCAAAAAAAGTAGTCAGCAGCACACTCCAAAAGGTCACCACCTGCGACTTTTAAGTCAGCAAAAGCCTCCAGGCCTCGGAGACCTGTAGAGTCGGGTGGGGTGCTGGTAGTAATCATGTACGGATCAAACACAGTATTTAGTAAAATCCTCTTAACCCACCCCAAACACCTTCTTAGAAGGTACTTGGAGCCCTAGGGATATGGATCATTTGGGCAACCGAAGGTTAAACAACAAAAAGCACCATGCCAGTCCGTGCCATTCCGTGACCTGAATTTCGGACGTTGGACATCCACATAGCCCATGTGGAGGAAGTTCGGGTAGGACTTTGGGATACTTTTTGGTGTTTTTTTTTCCTTGTGACCCTGACCTTGCACTGTAGGTCCGCTACCTGCTGCAACAGAAGGGAGAGCCTGACCTGGCAGTGAAGCAGCTTGGCCGCGAGGGTTGTCTGAAGTGTGTGGCCTAACTACTATTTATCTACGCAATATTTTCCTACATAGGGGTGATATCAGGGTCCACGGTAGGCACATACTCTATAGAGAGAGCCCCCCGAGTGACAAAAGATAGACGAGAACATCCGAGAAACGCGGTGGGTTTGAGTTCAAGGCCACAAAATGTGAAATCACTCCACCTGATGTTCTTCTATTTTCTTCCTGATGTATTCATCGGGGTTGGGCCTTTGAAGCTATGGCGGTGGGCTCGGGCCTATGCTCTGCAGCCATTCCTGCTGCAGATGGATAGTTGGATTTGAATTTGGCATAATTTGGCGTATTTTGGGAAGGATCCGGCTTGTGCAGGGGGTCCGGCTCTAACATCAGCACGATAATATCGCATATTCTTCCAGCACCACCCAAAGGATGGTTATTGGATGGTAAACAGATGGTATGGGGGGTCTAAAAACCCACCATTTAAGCGTTGCGGGTAGGTCATTCTTGCTTATCTACTAGCGTTGCCGTTGCTATGACTTTGTGTACGATACATGTTTTTAACTTGTGTTTCGTTACCTCATCATTGGCGAGGTGCGCCGGCTGGTCATTTTAACTCGGTTTCGCAACGACATAGAGATAGATGCCGCGAACATTTGCGAACCCACAGAATTGCAAAACAGAACAACGTCGAGTTGGACCTTCAATTCGTTTATACTGAGTTCACACTGGCCAACTGGTCCAGGTGTCAGATGACATGTGCGTGGTCCAACCGGCAGATATGGGTCTTTGTCGCACGCACACCCCAGAGTCTCACAGAGTTCAGATGTTTTGACGTCGCATGGTCTAAGGAGCATAGATACGTACCAGGACCTTCCCAAGTGACCGAACTTACAAGCCTGTTAGTGACCGAACCAACCCAGGAGATCAAGTTCGGTCACCGGGAAGATCCAGGTAGGCTATAGCTTTTGCTGTTCACCTGTTGCAGGGCGTTGGTTTGGCACCTGAAGTACTCCAGAAAGGGGGGGGTCACTTGTGGCCTGTGCAGGAAGACTTGTTCGGGCCTCCGAAAGCGAAAGCGTGAACAGACAGCCAATTGATGAGAAGAACTTTCATCCTTCCTGAACATCTGCACACTACTCTACAATGTTACCAATGAGATTCGGGATGCAAGCAGTAAGCAGACTCATTCTTATTTGGATAACATGTTTCAAGCTGTTTTGCTCTTCTTTGGGATGGCCGCTCTCTTGCGATTGCATCCCCTTCAAGGTTTCAAGATGATATGAACATCACCAAGACAGCTCCTCGTTGGCGAGCGACGGCCATGCCGAGCCATTGTATGGTGAATGCGCAGAAGTGAGTCTAATGGAGGTAAAAAGAGGTACCCAGACACCCAGAGCATCCGTGCCATGCATGGAATAAACACCTACATTGACCCCAAAGCAACCACCCCAGTATAAGTAGATATGCGAAGGTGCCATCGGTCGTGTTTGGGACATGGACCGTGATCTGATGGTCGAAGCTCGTTCCCCAATCGGCATCGCCTTGCAGCATCCATGGCCTGGGGGTGGAACCAGCTGTTGAATCGGCCCTTTTGCGTAAATGGAAGTGGGGGGCAGATAGAACGCCAAGCAGGCAGTAGTTATAGCAGCAGCAGTAGTAGCAGTATCATGTATGGAAACAAGAAGATTGAGGAACATCACGCGTGTTGGTGGAAACCACGGGTGGAATTCTCGGCGTCCGAGCCCAGGCTCTCCAGATTTCCTCGAACTTCGGCCATGAGGCGATCGGGTGGAAGACGTGGCCGCCGGGTGGAAGACGTCCCAGAGCATCCATTGCCTGTGGCCGATTTACTAGCAGCGTTCACCTTAAGTGGAACCACCGTAGATAAATGGGTCACACAGAGAAGTATCATCCGCGTCATAAATCTCTCAAGGGCTTTGTGAAGAAGTCTGGACCCCGGAGTGTCGTTTCGGAGCGCAGCGGTCCTGCGCTTTCGGATGTACTGCAGGAGGTGGTCCGTGTACTGCTGGGCGCCCAAGCGCAGATTTCGGGACCTCAAGAACTTCGCGATGCCATCGACGGATGCCATGTGGAGGCGTGGATGTCATGGAGAGGATTGACTGACCATTGTCATCCGTCTTGGCCTTCTACAACATTCTACCACCCAGTTTCACAGATGGACATGATGGACCTTAAGAATTTGACCTTGATGGGTCTGACTGACCATTGGAGCGGAAGGAACGAACACCTTCTGCATAATTTGAAGGCGGCCCCGTAAAAGAATTGGCTCATGTCTCCCAGCCTGCTGAGACCTCTACTGGCCTTTCTCCACCCCCAAGAAGGCCAACCTTCGTGAAGCTTGCACAGCCCGAGTCGGGCTTTTCTGTTCTGTGCTCGTCAGATGGTACTGGTCACCTGCAGGTATCGTGGCTGATCGTGGGGCCTTACCTACAGCGAATGCTGGCAATCACTGGGTTTGTGGGTCAACACGTGCCCTTTTCAATCGATAGGCACACACAGGGTGAAACAGCTGCCATGTGAAGCCCACCTTTCGGCATGATTCACTTGCCAGTATTTGCTCCAATCTGAGATACAGCCAACCCGAAGACCTCGCCTTTCCCAAGCCATATGGCGCCCATCAGATAATGCAGCAGGGATGCCTCGTCTACTGCAGCACCTGATCTCTATTGCCAGGTGGTCCGGCTACTGGTGCAAGCAGGCGCCGACTTGTTCACGGAGGCCATCGATGGAAGGACCGCCGATCCGCGGAGATGGGATCACGCTGTTCCACACGGTATCCACATCCAGCATGGAAGAGAAACCTGGGGGTCGATCACGCTGGAGAAGGTACAGCGGTTGGCGTATTTTTAGGTCTAGTGCACCATCCGTCCTAAAGCCCCAACGAATTATACGAAATGCTATCAACTATCATGAAGATACATTACATTTAGTCCAGATTCTAGGTGGTTCTTAGATGAGCATATAGCACATCCACTACGTACGCCCTAGCAAGGCCTCAAGTCCCGTTCCCTTTCGCCAGTCGGGGCATTGACTACCTCTTCCACACCAACAACGCTGTGCTCATCGCTGCAGCGGCCAAGGGCCTCCGGGGCTGTCAAGAGGATTTGGCCTCTTGGGTTCAAGCACCTGCGCGGATTTCGTTCGATTCAACGGTGACCTTGTCCGACAGCATGGAAGAGGAGACCCAGAAATGTGAGCCTCGAAAAGTCGATATCCCATCTAATTTGGATTGACAAGCCGCGACCTTTTGGGTGTTACACTGGGTGACCCCTACATGTCATTTGTTTTTCTTTTTTTTGGGGTGTGATTTTTCAACAAAGGCGGACGCTAAAGCGGCCGGCCTTACCCGCCGGGGATGCCTGTTTTTCGCACCTGGTTCAGGTGGAATTCATGAGCCTTTCGGATTTCGTGCGCTTCCTGGCCACCCCAGATACCTGGCTGAACGAAGCAAAGAAGCTTTCGCATGGTGTCCGGGACCTTTTGGTAGGCAGACATGACGTCAAATGAAAGCGCCAAATGACTTGAGGATGGCATGTTGATCAGCTTCCATTGGCACATCCGACCCAGTAACAGCAGCAGAAGAGCCCTGTCCGTTGAGAGTCTCCAATGTTCGTGCTGGCCCCTGAGGATGCGGAAGAGATCCTGTCCGCTGTCTTCCGAAAGTGCGAACTGCGCTACTGGCAAGGCCCACGGTCGTCCGATCGTGCGGCGGGTCAACGGAGATCCAGATTGCGTGGACTGCGGGAGCCAAGCACAAGCTGCACGTCTACTCTCCAAAGTCTCAGTTCATCTCAGTTCTAAAGATACATTTGTAGACACATGAACTTGAAAAAGGATAGGACATGTCATTTGCTTGAGGGAGTCATAGAAAGGGCAACTTACTGCAGGACTCCAAATAGATGTTTGGGATGATGATTGGGTTGATTTGGATGATGATTTGGTTGCATTTGGATGATGGTTGGGGGGGCACTCCATGCGAATGTATTAGGTATGTGCTCACAAAGGGAACCTCCAAGCATGGGCCATACTGTCAGAATACAGCATCACTACCAAAAAGGATCTTTCAGAGCATTTGTTGGGCACAAAGCAACACATGTACGTATATATAGCGATATATTGTACCTGCTTTCTATACGGCGACCTCCAAGGAAAAAACGGCTTCCATGATTTCCGGAATCTTGGGAACTCAACAGGTGAGAAGCGCATTGTTTGGAAGTCGGCCTACATCTTGCACGGGGACATGTCGCTGGGCGGGGATGGAAGGATTTGGAGAAGAACTGAGACGTGCAAATCAATTCACATAGATGCAGTTGATGACCTGAAGAAAGGAGGCAATATATAACTATTTATAGATATCTATATCTAATCACATCTAATCTAATCACTATTACACCCAGTGCATCCCAGTTACAGTACCACTATATAAGGAACCAGGGATACTAGGTCTATGGTTTTAGTCTTTGGAACCACTGGTTACCAGCTATATATAGTGGTTTGTTTGGATGCCATGGGTATAAAATTAATAAAGCATGGAGCTATAAGTAGTAGGACTTTGCGGTCCTAAACTTCCGGATTCCCAAGTTTGGAACATGTTGAACTTCCGAAACCACCGAACTCGTAGCGACGCGCTCAGGAATGTGGCTGTCGGGCCGAAGAAGGATCAGATGGACCAGCAGTTTCACAACCAGATGCGGCTGGGCGGGGATTAGGCCTTTCAATAGGGAGACCCCCCTGGAGGGAGGGAGGGGGTAGATTCATCTCTCTTCCAAACCATCAAGGGGGGTCGAACGGGGAGCGGCTCCGTGGGGCTGCTGCTGCTGTTGGTGGCGGTGGTATTTGAGCGATGTTGTGTTGTTTCCCATTTGCTTGTTTCTCGCTCTCTCTCTCTCTCTCGCATGGTTACCAAGGGAAACTGTAACTGCAAACATCCAGAAAGCTAAGCAGCCAAGGGACTAGGTAAGCACCCACACATACCTACATACCACAGAGACGGCTGGTGATCTACAAACCGCCATGCCCAGCCACTTGGAAAAAAAAGAAAACATCTCATCTCTATTTCTGATGGATTCGGACTCCCCCAAGAGCTAACAGCACAAAAACTATTATGCATGATGGCCACCGGCCGAGTTGGTTGGTTTCTTGCATGTCCCCACCGTCACCCATATTGAAAACATCCGCGAAATAATCCGAGGCAATGCCTTGAGAAATCCGTGTCAGGGACACCATCCTTGGTCCAGGACCGAGACCTATAGAGAGATAGAGCGGTCAGGGGGGGAAGCAGTGCGGCCGGGATCTTTCCTGCAGAGGATCCCAGAACTGATCAGCGATAGTGACTAGAAGCTACTAGGTGGAGGCCACCACAAGTAGGTTGGAGGCCATCGCAAGTAGGTTGGAGGCCATTGCTACTAGGAGCAAGAGGTTTGTGTTCTTCCACGGTGAAAACAATGACCGGGCCTGAGAGCCGAGTCAGCCCTTCGGTGGGCAGGCACGGAGGTCATATGTACTGTTCATCCCTCAAGAGAGGAACACATCAGACCAGTGCATCCCGTGCCCAACCAAGACATGTGTGATCAGGGATGTACTTTCTTATCACGAAAGCTAGCGAAGCTAGCTGGAGTTACTCTTGCGATAGCAAGGTTTCTTTCGACCGGGTGCAAATCCTAACCCCTGATTTTTCAGGTCGAAGACCCCCCCCC